AAGTCTGAACGAATTCAAAAAGATTGAAATCATATCAAGCATCTTCTCTTACCATATATTATGGAGCTAGAAATAAATGCAATAAAAAAAAAAACTGAAAAAACAGCTCTGGCGGATGCCTGTGGACCAGAGAGTCCCAGGTTTGGTTCCTGCTAGGGGCACATACAAAATTAAAAAATAATAATAATAAAAATTAAAAAATTAAAAAACTACAACATTCAAACACACAGAGGCTAACTAGCATGTTATTAAACAATGAATGGTTTAACAATGAGATCAAGGAAGAAATTTTAAAATTACCTGGGAACAAATGAAATTGAACATACCAACAACCCAAAATTTATTATACACAGCAAAAGCATTCCTGAGACGGAAGTTTATAGCATTACTGGTCTACCTCAAGAAGTAAGAAAATCTCAAATAAACAATTAACCCTACACCTAAAACAACTAGAAAAAAGGACAACATACAAAGCCTATAGAGTTCAGTAGAAGGAAGGAAATACTAAAGATCAGAGTGGAAATAAATTACAGAGAGAGACTAAAAAAATAATAATACAAAAGATCAATGAAAGCAAGAGCTGGTTATTTGAAAAGGTAAACAGTATTGATGAACCATTAACCAGACTCATTAAGAAAATAAGAGAGGACCGAAATAAATAAAATCAGAAATGATAGAGGAGAAGTAACAATTGATACTACAGAAATGCAAAGGATTGTAATAAACCACTATGAACAGCTATATGCCAACATATTGGACAATTTGAGCAAAATAGATAAATTTTTAGAAACATACAATCTTCCAAAACTGAATCAGGAAAAAACAGAAAACCTGAATAGATTGATTACAACTAAAGAAATTGAGGCAGTAATCAAAAACTCCCAACAAACAAAAGTCCTGGACCAGATGGCTTCACAGGCAAATTTTACCAAACACTTAAAGAGAAACTAACACCTATTATTCTTAAATTATTCCAAAAAATTCAGGAGGAAACACTTCCAAGCTCTTTTTACGAGACCAGCATTATCCTAATTCCAAAACCAGATAAAGACACTACAAAGAAAGAAAATCATAGGCCAGTATACTTGATGAACATAGATACTGAAATCCTCAATAAAATATTAGCAAACAGGATCCAGCAACACATTTAAAAGATCATACACCATGATGAAGTGGGATTTATTCCAGAGATGCAAGGTTGGTACAATATTTGTACATCAATAAACATGATAGATCACATAAACAAAATGAAGAATAAAAATCACATGATCTAATAAATAGATGCAGAAAAAGTATCTGATAAAACCCAGCACCCATTTATGATAAAACTCTCAGCAAAGTGAAAATAGAAGGAACATTCCTCAATATAATAAATTCCTCAATATAACAAACCTATGGCCAACATCATACTCAATGGGCAAAAACTAAAAGCATTTTCTTTAAGATCAGGAACAAAACAGAAATATTCGCTTTCACCATTCGTATTCAACATAGTACTGGAAGTCCTCACCACAGTGATCAGATAAGAAGAACAAATAAAAGGCATCCAAATTGGAAAAGAGGAAGTAAAACTGTCGTTATTTGCAGATGACACAATGTTGTACATAGAGAACCCTAAAGACTCCACCAAAAAACTAGTAAGTCTAATAAGTGAGTTCAGCAAAGTAGTAGGTTACAAAATTAATATTCAGAAATCAGTGCCATTTTTATATATCAATGATGAACTATCAGAAAGAGGAATTAAGAAAACAATCCTTTTTGTCATTACAACAACAACAAAATAAGGTACTTAGGAATAAATTTAACCAAGGACCTATACTCAGAAAATTATAGGACATTGAAGAAAGAAATTGAGGAAGATACAAATAACTGAATGTACCGTGTTTATGGATTAGAAGAATTACCACCATTAAAATGTCTATACTACCCAAAGCAATCTATAGATTCAACACAATTCCTATTAAAATACAAATGGCATATTTCACAGATCTAGAACAAACATTCCAAAAATGCATATGGAACCAAAAAAGACCCCAAATAGCCTCATCAATCTTAAGAAGAACAAAGTTGGAAGTACCATAATACCTGATATCAAGCTATACTAAAAGGCCATAGTAATCAAAACAGCATGGTACTGGTATAAAAACAGACATATAGATCAACAGAACAGAGTTGAGAGCCCAGAATTAAACCCACACCTTTATAGTCAATTAATATTTGACAGAGGAGGCAATATTTGACAATGGAGTAAAAAAATGCTCTTTAATAAATGGTATTGGGAAAATTGGATAAGTACCTGCAAAAAATGACAATAGACCACCTTCTTACACCATACACAAGAATAAATTCAAAAGACTTAAATGTAAGTCATGAAACCATAAAAATCCTTGAAGAAAACATAGGCAGTACAATCTCAGACATCTCTGGTAGCATATTTTTGCCAATATATTTCCTTGGATGAAGGAAACAAAGAAAAAATAAACAAATGGGATTACATCAACTAAAAAGCTTTGCACAGCAAAAGAAACCATCAACAAAATGAAAAGGAAACCCACTGAATGGGAGAACATATTTGGCAATGATACATCTGATAAAGAGTTCATTTTTAAAATATATAAAGAATTTATAGTATTCAACATCAAGAAGACAGACAATCCAATTAAAAAAAAAAAAAGGTAAAGGACCTGACTAGACACTTCTTCAAAGAGGACATACAGGTGGCTGATAGACATGTGAAAAAATGCTCAACATCACTAATCAGAAAAGCAAGTGAAAACCACAATGAGATGTTACCTCACACCTGCCAGAATGGCTATCATCAAATTAACAAACAACAAGTGCTGGCAAGAAAGTGGAGAAAAGGAAACCCTCGTGGGAATGCAGACTGGTGCAGCCACTGTGGAAAACAGTATGGAGTTTCCTCAAAAAATTAAAAACAGAACTGCCTTTTGACCCAGTGATCCCACTTCTGGGAATATATCCCAAGAAACTCAAGACACTAATGCAAAAGAATATATGCACCCCTATGTTCATTGTAGCATTATTTACAATAGCCAAGATCTGGAATAGCCCAAGTGCCCATCAATAGGTTATTGGATAAAAAAGCTATGGTACATTTATACAATGGAATACTATATGATCATTAAAAAAAGAAGAAGTAAGTCTTATCTTTTGTGACAGCATGGATGGACCTGGACATTATTATGCTAAATGAAATAAGTCAGTCAGAGAAAGACAGTTCCATATTGTTTCACTCATATATGGAATAGTATGAACAAAATAAACTGAGAAAACAGAAAGAGAGGCATAGATATGTGGGACAGACTGACTGCTGTCAGAGGGGAGAAGGGTTGGGGGACTGGATGAAAGAAGATGAAGGGATTAGCCGAAAAGCATACATTCATAACACATAGACACGGACAACAGTGTGGTGATAGCCAGATGGAAAGGGGGTGGGGTTGGTGGAGGGTGGGCAAAAGTGGGGATAAGAGGGATGGAAAGAGATTGCTTGGGGTGATGGGCACACGATGCAATGTGCAGATGATGTTTTATTTAGTTGTGCACTTGAAACCTGTATGGTTTTGCGAACCAATGTCACCCCAATAAATTCAATTTTAAAAATAAATAAATAAAATATTTAATATGTAAGATCCATAGTCCTGGCTGTGTCTCTTTTCCCCTGAGGCAGAAAGAACACAGTTTCCTCATTTCACCTCTGTATCAATGTGGGGGGTGGGCTGAGGAAATAAATTGCATATGTTAGAGCCTTGGACGGTAGTGATAGAGACAGTTTGCAAGCTAAGTGGAATATTTGAGTGGAAAAATAAATTTAAAAATCCAGACATCTAGTCTGTTGTTACATAAGAGCATGGTAAAGTAAGGGCATGGAAGACAGCCAGGCAGGGATTCAAATTCTGTTCTCTCTTACTTGCTGAGTAACCTTGGGCAAGTGACCCTGTCACTCTGAGCCCTGTTTTCCTCTTTAAAATGGGGATGTATAACTTGCAGGTTTGTGAAAGGCTTATAGATAATATATGTTCAGTGTCTTTTATATAAGGAGGCTTAGTAAATGGTAGCTGTTGTTATCCTCTCTGTTCGTACTTCTTCCTATGCTGGGATGGAATTTCTGCATGAAAGAGGAAAAGAGGAGAAACGTGTTAGTGGCTGACCCCCTCCACACTGCTGCTTTTGCTCCTGTGCCTCCTCCTCTCCTCCCACTTCAGACTTTAGGAGCCCCTTGATCAACTGAATACAGTAATGTTCATAGGGTTTACCTACAATAATTATTAAATATGACTGCAATGTTTATAAAGTCCTAGTTAGGGACTATCAGTAACATTATAAAATATCCTGTTTAAATTGATGTTGCTAGAACCCCCTAGAGGGCTGTGGTTACCAAGGTGTAGACCTGTTACCATCATTTTTAAGCCCTTGGGCATAGAATCTATGCCCACTGACCTGGAGATCTCTTTCAAATACCTTAAGACTTATAAAGAGACAAAATACAAACATGACGATGCTTCTGATAAGTTTAACATGCACTTAAATGTCACGGCAATGTAAGGGATTGTGTATTTTTGTTTATTTGTTCTGATTTATACATATAACTAACTTCTGGCTGAAATTCAATCTCTATTCATAGTTAGCAGCATGATAACTAATTTTATTTAGTAAGAAAAGGGAGTAGTCTAAAACTTTGATTAAGAAAAATAAGGAACTTTACCTGAACAAATTTCAAATGGATCCATTTAAAACAAAACTAAGTGGCACTTAACTGGTTTGCAAATCGGGGCCTATTTATCTCAGCAAAATAACTCATCTTAATTTACCCCTAAAATTGGCTTTATTATTACATTTAATTATACTAGAAACTTGTTAAAGACTTATAGCTTCTCTCTGTCCCTTTAAACTGTACTTTTTATAGACAGTAATGGAGTATTGGTAGAATAACTTGATTTCCAAAGAAATATGTTTCTAATATTTTCCTCTTTTTATTGCAGAAATTGAAACAAGTTGAAGAAACAAAAGAGGATCCTGAGAGTAGATTATCTAAAATTTCCCTGGAGTCATTCAATAAATATAACAGCAATACTGTGATTTTATTAGAAAAAGAGAAGTCTCTGAACAAGGTTGAAGGACGAAAGGAAGAAAAAGAAAAAAATGAAGAGGCATCTTTGAGTAGCTCAGACAAGCCCAGGGTAGACAATTTGGAATCTTTGAGTGATTCTTTATATGATAGCTTCTCTTCCTGTGCGAGTCAGGGTTCAAATGATGCATAAAGAACTTCCCCACCCCACCCCTTTAGTGAGCTGGAAATTGAGCACTTAAGAAGCAGGGGTTGGGAGGGAGCAGGCAGAGACGACAACAATAAACTATTACTACATCAGAGTGTTGTCAGGTTCGCAGCAAGCAACGTACTGGAACTTTCTTCTTTTACAGGGCAATAAAGATAGACTCCATTCGTTGTGCTTCATAACGATTAAAAGTAAACACCCATGAGACAGAAGACTTAATTTTGCACTTTTTTTTTTGAATACTTGTACAGAAGTTGTAAATTTTTTGGAAAAGAATTATATTTGTAGCACAAAAAGAGAGCGAGACAAAAGCAATAAATTGAATCAGTGCCATGCTCTTGAAATGATGTACTAAGTCTTTTAGAAGTTGATGATAATATATTTTTTTAAATTCCAACTAAAGTTTTTGTTCAGTTCATCATCCTAGTGCTCAAATTGTTTGTGAGTACACTCTGTAAACCTAAAACAGGGCCTGCCAAAAAGAAGAGGCTCATTGTCATCTCCAACTCACAATCTCAATTCGATATAAACTTTAATTCTAGTGCAATTTCAAAATTGTTGCCAGAATGATTCAGGCTCTAGTAATAAGTATGATTCTACTTCTGCTGAGAAATGTAAAGGGTACTGAAGTGGGACACTGATCCCTAGGATGTGTATCAGAAGTGACCTAATTATATTTTCAACGGCAGATTTTCCCTCCAAGCATTTCCTTATATCCTATTCTACTTAGTCCTTCACTATGATTTGTAACATTTTTTGTTGATTTTTATTTTCCTGCTCTTTTTTTAGAATCTGGGCACTCTAGAATGAAAGCAAATTTCTATTTGCAATGTTCACTTTAAAAAAATGTTTAAATGGTTGGTGCTATGAAAAATTCTTACTTTTTAATATCCTTCTTTTCTACAAAGTCTGTTTATATATGTAAGGATAAATTCTATTTTAAAGGTTATGTGTATTTTCTAGATGTGAACTATTTATAATTACTTCTGTACAGGAGCTTGTAAATTAGGCATCATAGAAATATTTTTAGGATCTGTATGGTTACTTTAGTACACACTCATTTCTTTAAAGACTATTGTATGATCAGTGTTATTTGGTAAATTTGTGCAATTTGTTATATTTGAATTTTGTCTTAAATGAAAATTATGTAAAGTGTCATTGTCTTTCAGACTTCTAAAAATTCTTGTTTCATTTCTGAATAAAAGTCATATCACCGTCGAACCCTCTGAAAGCTTAAAAGAACTTGTCTAAGGAGCCTTTGGCCCAATTAGTTATTTGAATCGCACATGTGCTCCAAGGATGTATTCCCTAAGGAATGAATCGGCGCTCTTGCTCCAGAGATAATCATTGAGCCAACTGTCAGAGTCTGCAGACAAACAATTAATGGTCAAAGCAGTTCAGTCTCAGTCTCCCCGAGGGGTTAACCAGCTAGAAATGAAAGGAAGGGGGTGCAAAGGGCGAGGAGTCGGAGGGAGATACGGAATGATCTCTGCAGAGGAATTACAGGAAAATCTTTTAAGCCCATTTCCAGACCTGCTCGCCTGCAGGATGGGGAAGTAAATGATCAGCGTCCCGGCCCGCGAGAGCTGCCTCCAAGAGGTGGCAGGAGAAGGTGAAGAGTGGCAACGCTTATGAAGCTATTTCCACGGAAATGGATGCTCCCTGGGGATTTGGGAGCAGGTGGGAACGCGCGGAATTGGGGGCGGGGGCAACTAGGCTCGGCGGCGGGCGGCGGGCGGCGGGCGGCGGGCCAGCGGGCTCCCGTACCACCTGCTGCAAAGCTCGGCGGCGAGAAAGGCGGACGCAGCCACCGTAGCACCGCGGCGTCCCCGGCAGTACTCCAGGTGGGTCGTTGGAACAAGAGAGGAAGAATGCGATAGGGAAGGGGCCGGAGCAGCCGGCGACCGAGTCCTGGGCTGGGAAGGCGCGGTACAGGAGCGGGTGCCGGAGCATATTCTAATGACCCGCGACTTTGAGGAGAACAGGATGAAACTGCGGCCTTTTGGAGAAGGAGATAAAGGAGAGAAACTCCCTTCTTCATTGCAATTTGCTTTCCAGTGGAAGGTCCCGACGGTACTGCCGGGGTGGCCCTCTCCCCGGCAGTGTCACCGCACCCTCCAGTGGTTCGCGCAGGCTGACGAAAGGAGGGAGGGCTGCTGGGGCCAGCGCGCCAGTCAGGGCAGGGGCCCGCCACACCCCGCCCACCCTGCTGCAGCTGTAGCCAAGCCCGGTAATGACCGAGGGGCTACTCAGAGGAAGAGCGGGCGCAACTGCGCGGGGCGCCCTAGGGCGTCTGCAGGTGTGCAACTTTGTCCGGCGTACAGGAGCGCGCCCCCAGCCCCAGTTGGCTGGAGCCGACTCTGCCTTTGGGAACCCGCCAGCAGCGGGGAACTGGCCAGCCCCTGGAGCGTAGAGGTGTGGGGAGTGTGCACCTATGGGCAGAGGGCCCGCCGGGCACGCAGTCTTCGACCCCACCTCTCAGGTCCCGCAGTCAGCGCCGGGCCAGTCCCCATGGCACCTGCTGCGCCCTTGCAGCGCGTCACCATCTCCAGCCTCTCCAAGTTGGAACATTACACTCTTTCTCTCCCCTGGCCTCCCTGTCCTAGGGACGTGCGGAGGCTGGAGGAGAGGGCGATAGATAGGGGGCGGGGACGTAGACAGTCTCAGTCTTCCCCGCCCGCCACCCCCGCCCCATCTCGGCAGCCGTCACGTGGTGCCTGGAGTGGGAGGTGGGGAGAAGAAGCCAGACTTTTTGGGTGCTCAGGATCGCCAGTAGTTCCTTTAGTCTCAGCCGCCAACTCTGGAGACGCGGTGCTCTGCCCGAGAGAAACTGCAACCAGCAGTCGGGAGCCCCGGCGCGGGCGATGAGGGCGCCGCTGGCGGCACCTGCGGCTCCTCTCGGCGGCGACAGTCGCCTCGGCGACAGCAGCGCGGGCCACAGAAGCTTCGGCAGCCACAGCCGCTGCGGCCCGGGCAGTCTCCTACGCGGTCGCCGCCTCTGAGGCACCTGCGCGCTCCCGGCCCCGCGGCTCCGGGAGGATGTGGATCCTCGGCATCGCAGCAACATTTTGCGGATTGCTCTTGCTTCAAGGTAAGACGAAGAGGCCAGCAGCCCAGCCAGGGGCGCGCACCGCTTTTACCACCCGCCCCTTCGTCCCTGGGCGCCCAGTGCTGCGCAGAAATTGCCCAGCTGGAGTTCGGCGGTGGCTGATGCCCAGAGGCGCTGGGTGGGAAAGTCTTTAAGTCGCGCACTGCTGGAGGAGAGGCAGAAGCCGCGGATTTGCAGGACTCGAGCTGCAGATGCTCGATTCTCTGGCTGCACTGTCGGAGGAAGGACTGGGGATGTGGGAGGGTCTGAGCGTTGTTGGGGCCTCCCAGAGGGAGAGGGACAGATAACCCCCAGCCCCGCCAAGTTGTCAGGCGTCTCTAGCAACCCGTGGGAGTGGCGCCGCCGACAGGTGAGCGGCGCGCTGGGCAGCCGCCGGGCAGCCTGTGGTCCAGGCGCCCGGGCTGTGTTGGTGCGCTCTGAGCGCGACCGATATGGGGCAGGGAGGGGCCAGCGTGGGGAACCAGGCTCATCTGCGCGGGAGCAGATCCGAGCGGAGCAGCTCTTGAGGGATAAGAGATGCAAAAACGTCTCGCTCCTTCTTTCCAGTACAGGACCATCTTTTGAAGGAGCTTTGCAGAGCTAAGACCCCGACCGGGGGCTCTAACCAAGTGGTGTCCCTGATAGCCCGGAAGAAAGGGCTGTAGTGTGTCGCTGCCTGGGGTACGCGCGCGAGCACAACACACGCTCCTCTGCAGTCGCTGCGGCCACTCCTGCTGCTGCGGAACAGTCCCAGAGTAGGCCGGGGACTTGGGGCGCAGTAGTACTTTGTGTCCGGTACTTCCTCCCGGGTTCCCGGGTAGTAGTGTAGGGAGTCTCGGAGCCACAGCACGGAAATTCGGACATCAAAAATTAAGTAAAACTAAAAAGAAGTCTGCGACTACAACCGCGAATGGTGCCAAAATAGTAAGTAATTTGTAACCAATTAACAATTAGGCAAGCCCTTCTGCGTAGACTGAAGCTGATGCTTGTCTCTGGAGCTACTTAGCTCTTGGGGTTGTATACCCCTCCTTGCAACTTCCCTGTGGAAAGACCAGGTGGGGTGTTGCACTGGCTCTTTGTTACAGGAGCGTGGGTCGAGGTGTAGCGGGCAGAATTCCACTTTATCCTACGGGACCCTGGTGCCCGCGCCGCCCCCTGCCGGCTTCAGCCACGTAGGCCTTACTCCAAAACGCTGCAGCGCGGAGCCCTAGCGCTCCAGAGGCTGGATGGGCAGGGGAGGGTCTTGGCATCCGTGATCTTTGGAGGGGCTGGATCTGAACCACACTATTTCTGTCCCGCAGGCTTTGCGCTGCAAATTCAGTGTTACCAGTGTGAAGAATTCCAGCTGAACAACGACTGCTCCTCCCCGGAGTTCATCGTGAATTGCACGGTGAACGTTCAGGACATGTGTCAGAAAGAAGTGATGGAGCAAAGTGCCGGTAAGAGCCTGGCAGCCCTCTCCTCCCTTCTCCAACCTGGGCCAAGGTGTGAGTGAGGGAGTCATTCAATTACAGGAAAAGGGACTGACTTTGATTTAATGCGTACACACTGGCTATCGCAGATTTACTTTTACAGTGCTGGGAAAATGAAGAGTTCCAAGTTACTTTAGTCTCATTAGACTTAATTACCAGGGCTTCTCCTCAAGGGATTCAGGCAGGAAAGTGCATTTAATGAGTGGTTCTCCTCTTTTATTTACTCCCTTCACCTCCCTCTGCTAAAAGCTGATCGGGAGGCTGGGAAATAGATGGATAACTGGCTGTGCTTGGACAACTAGACAGCACCCTGTGAGCAGTGTCAGCCTGAAACATAAAGCTAGTTGAAGTGCCCGGAGGTCAGAGCTGGAAAACAAACGTGTTTTATTATAGAGCCACACCGTATTTCTTTGAAGAGCACCACAGGATCTTTATTTAATTGTAGAATTAATGCTTCACATTCCAGGCACAAATTGCCAAGATCTTTCGAAGGATTGTGGTTCTCAGCCCCACACGCTTAGTGGCGGGTCAGCGGGCTGGGTTATGCAAGGAGCCTCGGGAGAGCAAACCGCCTTGTTGACTCCAGCTGGCCAGAGTCTTCTCACTGAGGTGGATCCCCAGCTCCTCCCAACAGTCTTATCAGAAACCAAAGTCCCCAGAAGTGCAACTGGAACTGTGGGGACCTGGGTGGAACTATTGCTTCAATTCCAAGGTCAAACCCATAAACAGAATTTGCCATTTTACAAATATTGAAAAAACGGGAAATAGCTTCTGTTGTGGGGAGAGCCCCAAAAGATTCACTTCAGGATTGATTCAGAAGAACTGACATGTAGGCTCATTCAAATTCCTAAGAGCTTCATAGGAGAAGCTTTACTCTGGCGAAGTAGCTGCTCCCAGTGTGGCCGCCCAGGAAGAATCCACACCCCTCTCAGGACAGGGTCCCTTTGTATAGGGGTTAATAGTAAAACCATATGGTGGGTGGTCACGTAGGCCACCAGAAAGAACAATGAATTCTTAAATTAACAGATAACATCAGGCAGGTATCATACTCTATACATTCATGAACCTCCTTCCAGAGACCTGACATTTATCTTTGGGTAGCGTTCCTGTTCTCTGGGTAGTTAGCCAAGCCTGAGGCCACAGAGAGTTAAACAGAATATCCAGCATTTCCCAGACGCCTTACTGCCGGAGCCATATGGCATCTAAAGTGAGCTCCCCGACCACAGCCTCTGGTGTGTGCTCCTGAATGAACCCAAGCTCTGCTCCTCTTCAGTTTGCCGAACTGCACTGCTAACAGAGCCTGATGTAGGGATGGAGCTGTTAAATGACCTTCTTTTTTAAAAAATGAATTTATAGGGGTATAACATTGGTTACTAAAGTTATACAGGTTTCAGGTATGCAATTCTGCTTACATCATCTGGATACTGTATTGTGTGTTTACCACCCCAAGTCACATCTCCTTCCGTCACCATCTGTCCCTCCTGTGCCTTCTACCACCGCCCCCTGCCCTGCCCTCTGGCAGTCAACAGTTGAATGAGCCCCTTAACCCACTGGCAACTTAAGGGAAAGGCTATAGTTTTAAACCCAGCTTCTTGGGAAAGTAGTTTCTCCTTAGAGAAGGGCTTGGAAATGCCTTGTCACCAACTACAGTTATTTGGGGAGCAGATGGGTTGTCACTGTGCTGTGATGTGTGTGTCATTTTAAAGGCCATTGTCTATAGTCCCTTATTGGTCTAGGTGTGGATTTTTGCCACCCAAATCCCTCTTCTGGGAAATCTGAAACATAATTGTTCTCAAGAAGAACCAGCCCCACGATAAACAGAGTGCATTTCTTTGTCATATGGGATTCTGGCTAATGAGAAAGTAAAAAAAAATAAAAACTTAGTGATGATTCTTTAGTGAAGGTTGAAAAAGATGATTTTGACAAGTTGGCTCTTTTCTGCTTGTTTCATTCCTGAGCACTGTACCTGAGCCTACGTGCACGGCCCATCTGCCAAAGGGGCTGCTGTGATCTGAGTCAGGATCACTCCGAACACTTGATTATTACTTTAGAATATTTGAACTTTCTTCCAGGCAATAGATTAGAGGCTGTTCTGTGGACACATTAGGAACTTCTTCAAAATCCTACAGGCCACTGCTTACCTGGGTATCATGTTTTATAACCTGGGATACGGTGGAGATAAGGAGAAAGATATGGACCAAATTACAGCCAGAAGAGGTATCCCTTTTCTGAGACATTCCTTCCTCTGTAAAAGTATACCTAAGATGAAGACCACACTCTCATTTCAACATGCTGTGTTTCATCGGCTTCATTCTCTCCTCCACACCACACTGTAAAGAAGGCAGCGCCAGCAGTGGAATACCCACTTATCCACGGGAAACTTTAGCACAGATGGTCGTCAGCGCCTGGCCTGAAGTTGCTATTAGCTTGGGTCAAGGTGAGCACCTTGTCTACAAACCAGGTTCTTCTGGCCATATGTCCTGGACCAAGGGGGCGGGCAGAGACTGAAGCGATAAGGTAGTCTTGGTGATGAAGTCTGAGAAACAAACAGTTAATAGGCTCAAAGGAAAACATAGTTACAAAGGGAAGAGTGGGAATTCTGTGCACATGGACAAGGCATATCAGGGCTTGAATTCAGTAGAAAGCAGCCGTAAGTTCCTGAATCAGAAGAACGATGTTCAGGGGGCAGCTGATACTTCCATTTTCATCTCCATGTAATTGGTAGAGACCAGTCGATTCAATAACTATGGACTGTCCTCCTGTTGGCAGTGATGGAGAGCCAACCTGAAACTGATGGTTTAGTGACAGCAGCAGAGTGCAGTGGTTACAGTGGCGAGAGCTGACCTCCGGTGTGTGCCCTGTGCGCCCCACTCATCCTCCAGGTGGTGTGCGCCACGTAGAGGATCTCATGCAGTCTGGTTGGTAGTGCTCCTTTGAGTCCTTTGTTTCCCAAGGCCACAATGCATCAGCATTTAATTCTATTCCAGGATCAACTTCTCCACTCTGAAGAAAGAAAGTCAAGTCCGAATTTCTGTTTGTTTGCTTGATCAGTAACATACATTGTTCTCAGAATCTTTGTGTGTGAGAGCTGACAGGGCCCAGTGACTCACGGTTAAGGGTACACGTAGGAATCTTCCTGGGAATTCTGTTCAAATCCACATGCCTGGGCCCCCTTGCCCCTCCTCCCCTCTCCGCCCACAAGAAGCCAATTCCCCGAGTCTCTGGTACATCTGATCATGGGTCTTTTATAAACTCCTCAAGTGATTCTGGGTGCCCCTAAGTTGCAAACTGCTGACTGGACCACCCTTTAAGTGTTATAGAGAAGGAAAATAAGGGCCAGAAAGTTACACGTCTGATCCTAGCCCAGCAGCCAGCTGTTACTAGAAGCCGCCTGCTTCCTGGGCCAGGTTTGCCTAAGAAGATAGTTCAGGCGAAGTGCTAAAGGCTCGTTGTCTGCCAGGTTCACCTGAACAGGCTAGTGAACAAGCTGAGTGGACAGGCCCAAAGTAGGTATTGAAGGAATATGAGAATCCACCAAAGGATTTTTAGTTGGAGTGTTATGTGGACTGGCATTTTTCATAAGTATGACACGAAAACCGGGGCTTTAAGTGGACTAAGATTTTAATGAACCAAGCAAGTTTGACATTAAACAGTAATGAAAGACATTCTCTTTCCAAAAAATACCAGCAATGCAATATGCCCAGGTCTTCAGTTAGTCCTTTCTGGATTAAGTCTGCAAACTCAGCTCTTTGAGTTTTGAGGCACAGGTACATTTAATTTTCAGTTGGGAAGTACATTTAAAATTAACCTTTACCTATTCCCCAGAGTGGCATTCCTCTTAGGCCCGTGCTGTTATTTTCTGCTGCTCTTTATCCTCTTGGCCATTTCTGGAGCAATGAGGCCCCTCTGTGGGGAGGGGACCACTTGCCTCTTCCCTTGTCCCTGCTAACTGATATTTAAGTGTTTGCATAAGGAAGGACTTATTCTCACTAGCTCTACACTTAATGAGTTAGCAACTGCTTACCAGCACCCTTGATAATGACATTTCTTTTGCTCTTGCTATTCACTGCACTCTGAAAAATATTTAAATATTGATTTTCATTTCAGGATGAAGCCCCCGACCCCATTACAATTGTTAAAACCAGGGTGTAAAGAATGCGAATTTGCATTTGTTTGACAGTGCAATCTTGTAATTAGAGTTTTTCCTCTTGACTAGATACAGTGAAAGGGGCATAATTTAATTTTTATAGACTAGCCAATTTCTGCCCTTAGTAAAATATAGCTCTGTCAGTGAGCAAAATGTTACAGGTTCACCTAAACCTTATTTAAAAGTTAAATGTAGTATATTGAGAGAAAGTTCATGGTCTGAATCGGTAACCTAATCGATCTCTTTACCCATCCTCTGCAACATGCATTAATCTATTTGTCTGTTTTGCAATACAAGAGTTACTGATTTATATGCCATGTTGCATCTGCATTATGGCTGTATAAGCAATGGCAATTTTCCTTTTGGATTACTTAGTTGCTCATTAAGTTGAACTGGGATGGCTCCATGCCTTGGATAGGTTAATTTTATGCTTTATTTTCTCATGAACTAAATAAGGAACAGCCAGTGAGGGCCTGGTGTCCCTAAAATAATCAGTCATCCACTCTTAGTTGAAGGAAATGGAAAGCTAACCATGGCCTATGTTATCTTAAGTCTATGCTCTGCTTAATTTCACCAAAATTTAAAATATTAGGCACTAGTGTGTCATCGGGGTGGGCTTGGCAGGCACAAGGACCAGTTCTGCTAATCAGTATTATCTCACAGTCCCTTTATATCTACATTCTCTTCAAGGTGTGGTGCACATACGGCATACCTGGGTTTGTGTGTATATTGTTACATTTTGCATGTACAGATGCTCTTTAATGTAAGATGGGGTTATGTTCTGAAAAACCCTTTGAAAGTTAAATATATTGTTAGGTTT